AGGATCCTTGGTGCCCAGCTGGGCATCCCCAGGACCGGGTGGAGCATCCTGAGGACCGGACAAAGTGTCCTGGTACCCAGCGGAGCATCACCGGGACCGAGCCGAGCAGCTCCGGGACCGGGCAGGGCATCCCTAGGACCGGGAAAAGCATCCCTAGGACCGGGCAGGGCATCCCTAGGACCGGGAAAAGCATCTCCAGGACCGGGAAAAGCATCCCTAGGACTGGGAAAAGCATCCCTAGGACTGGACAGGGCATCCCTAGGACTGGGAAAAGCATCTCCAGGACCAGGTAAGAGCATCCCTGGCCTGAAACCAAGCATCCCCAGGACTGGACAGGGCATCTCCAGGACCGGGAAAAGCATCCCTAGGACCGGGAAAAGCATCTCTAGGACCGGGAAAAGCATCTCCAGGACTGGGAAAAGCATCCCTAGGACCGGGAAAAGCATCTCCAGGACCGGGAAAAGCATCCCTAGGACCGGGCAGAGCATCCCTAGGACCGGGCAAAGCATCCCTAGGACCGGGAAAAGCATCTCCGGGAGCGGGAAAAGCATGTCCAGGACCGGGAAAAGCATCCCTAGGACCGGCAAAAGCATCCCTAGGGACCAGGTAAGAGCATCCCTGGCCTGAACCCGAGCATCCTCGGTACCCAGCGGGGCATCCCTAGGACCGGGCAGAGCATCCCTAGGACCGGGAAAAGCATCTCCAGGACCGGGTAAGAGCATCCCCGGCCCGAACCCGAGCATCCCCGGTACCCGCCGGAGCATCCCCGGGCCCCAGTGGGGCATCCCCGGGCCCGGGCGGAGCCTCCCCGGGGCCGCCCCCGTCCTTCCCCCGGTACCTGCGGGCTCCGACCTCCCCCTCCGCTTCCTCCGGCTTGGGGCAGCCCTTTCCTGTGTCCTTCCACACCGATCCGGCCTGCAACAGGCTCCGGGAACCGGGAGAGTCACCGGGAAAAGGGGGGATCCAGGCATCCGGCTGCCTCCCCCCAGCATCCCCGGGGCGCTGGAGCGGGGAGCCGGTGGTGGCGCTGGGGGTCTCCCAGTTTTTCCATGGAAATAGCCATTTTCCTGCGGGAATTAGGGCAGATGATTTGGGGAGATCGTTAAAAAATAAGAGCAAAACGTGTGTGTGGGGGGGTGAAGGTGGTCCCCAAAGTCTGGGGTCCCCCCCCACCCCAAGAAGAAACCCCCGAGCTCCACCAAATCCTAGAAAAAAGTGGGAAATGATGAAGCTCCTTTTTATTTTTCCCCTTTTCCCTTTGAAATCCAGACACAAATCAGAACAAACCCATGAAACTTTGCTTAAAGCTTAAAAAATGAGCTTATTTTTTGGGTGCCGTCCTCCTACGAGGACTTGGATGCGATGATCCTTATGGGTCCCTTCCAACTTGAGATATTCCATGATGGAAGAAGGTTGGAAGAGGCTTCCCGGAGCTGGTCCACCCTTGGAGATACTCAAGGACATGGAGATGGGTCTAGAAGACCTTGCTTGGAGCTCGATGGTTGGTGTGGTCATCTCCAGGTCTTGGATCCAAACCTCCATCCATTGGGAATGCGACGAGGCTCGGTGGGACGCTTTGGGATCCCGCATCGGCATGTCCATCCTTGCAGGTGATGGGACCGTGGATGGTGAAGAGGATGGAGGTGGTGAGAGGATGGAGATGCCTTGAAGAGGTCCCAGGATGGGACAATGTGGAGCTGGGAAATGGGTGGAGAAGGGGACGAAGGGTGGTGGGATGTGGGACCGCGGACGGACAGGTCCCACGGCAGGAGATGCCGATGTCTGCGGGGATCAGTTGGACACAGAAGGTCCCAAGTCGGGGGGAATCTCGTCACAGCTCCTTGTTGGGAGGGTTTGGTGGAGCCAAAACCTTGGTTGAGTTGAAACCTTGATGGAGCCCAAATCACCTTGATGGAGCCCAAGCCTTTGATGGAGCCCAATCACCTTGATGGAGCCCGAGCTTTTGATGGAGCCCAATCACCTTGATGGAGCCCAAGCCTTTGATGGAGCCAAATCACCTTGATGGAGCCCAAACCCTTTGATGGAGCCAAAGCCCTTGATGGAGCCAAACTCTTCTCTGGGAGACCAAAACTTACGGGGAGGGAGAAGATTCTCCATGAGCAGCGACACCTTTGATGGAGCCAAATCACCTTTGATGGAGCAAAATCACCTTTGATGGAGCAAAATCACCTTTGATGGAGCAAAATCACCTTTGATGGAGCAAAATCACCTTTGATGGAGCAAAATCACCTTTGCAGGAGCATAATCACCTTTGATGGAGCAAAATCACCTTTGATGGAGCCCAAGCCTTTGATGGAGATCAAGGCTTTGATGGAGCCAAATCACCTTGATGGAGCCCAAACCTTTGATGGAGCCAAATCACCTTGATGGAGCCCAATCACCTTGATGGAGCCCAAGCCTTTGATGGAGCCAAACTCTTCTCCGTGATGCTGGATGTGACGGGGAGGGAGGAGATGCTTCAGGAGCAGCGGGGATGTCCCGTTGATACGGATGTTGGCTTGTTTGAAGAGTCTGTAGCTTATATCTGCCTTTCTAGAGCTGAAAGGACCAAAGGGACCAGCTCATCTTGGTGTCACGTGGAGAAACCCAAGACAGGAGCAACGTCTGCAGCTGCTCCCGGGCAAGACGCTTTCCCCCTCGGCACGGCTTTTCCTCGCCGGCTATTTTAGGCGTTCGGCGGAGCGGTCGGGTTTGTCCTTCAGGGAGCAAACCACGCGAAACCTTCGGGTGCGGGAGGACGTTGCGGGCAAATCTTTGGCATGCCAGGCATGCCTTCGCGGCTCTCGCTCCCGCGGAGGACGCAGGACACGGCCGCTTTATCATTTTACCATTCTCTACGGCCGTTTTCTTGCCGGGTTTTTAAGCTTGTCTGCTTGTACCCGTCAGATTTTTTTGTCTTGGAAAAAAATAAGGCTTTTTTTCATATATTGACTATTCATTCAAAAAAGAATCGCCTCCTTTTGCTCACCGAAGATCTCCTTTCATGCTCCGCTATGGAGGAAGCATCTTGTGGTTTGATCTTGCTCCTCCAGACCCCTTTTCATCCTCTTTTTTTCCTAGATTAAGCCTTCAGATTTCTTCAATTTTGTTCCATTTTTATAATTATCCCGTAGCACGGCCACCACAATCACCTTGTATTTCCAGCATTAAAAAAAAAATTCCTACGTCTTCTTTTTATGCATTTTTTAAGACATTTACTCATTAAAACCTTTCCCAAATAAAAGTAGGAATATACACATATTCTACGCAGACCCCTTCCCCCCCCCAACCCCGGCAGCGATTTAATTAAGACAAGGGAAATTTAATATCGATCTAAAAATAAAGACCCCACCCTGTTCCCCTCCTGGCACCGTTCCCCCCGCAGATGTTTCCTCAGCACCTTCTGCTCCAGCAGAGCCAAGTTCAGGAGGGCTCGGGGTCCCTGGGTTGGACCCCAAAATGGGGTTGTGCCCCAAAACGGGGTTGTGCCCAGGGGTCTCTGCCCCATGGCAGAGCTGTGGGGTGGGGACGGGGCTGGCACCGGCTCCTTGTCCCCAGGGTGGGCATGGGGAGCAGCGTGCCCTGGGGTGGGGGGCTTGCACTTGATTTGGGGTGCTCAGCCGTCCCCCAAGCCGTGGGGTGGGGGGCTGCTCTTCCTCCTCATGAAGTCCTCCAGGGTACCGGCGTTGCTTGCGTCTGCCCAGGGAGCTGCCTGGGAAGTGGTCAAGACCCTTTGAGATGTGCTGAACCCCTTTGGAGACACGCTGAGCCTGTGCTGAACCCCTTCAAGATGTGCTGAACCCCTTCAAGACGTGCTGAGCCTCTTTGAGATGTGTTGGACCCCTTTGAGATGTGTTGAACCCATTAAAGACGTGCTGAACCCCTTTGGGGACATCCTGAAACCCTTCAAGATATGCTGAACCCCTTTGAAGATTTCCTGAACCCCTTGGAGATGTGCTGAACCCCTTCAAGACGTGCTGAGCCTCTTTGAGATGTGTTGGACCCCTTTGAGATGTGTTGAACCCATTAAAGACGTGCTGAACCCCTTTGGGGACATCCTGAAACCCTTCAAGATATGCTGAACCCCTTTGAAGATTTCCTGAACCCCTTGGAGATGTGCTGAACCCCTTCAAGACGTGCTGAGCTCCTTCGAGACATGCTGAACCCTTTTGGAGGTGTCCCGAAGCCCTTGGAGATGGGCTTGAACCCCTTTGGAGGCATCCTGAACCCCTTCGAGGTGAGCTGAACCCCTTGGAGATGTGTCTAATGCCTTCAATGCTGAGCTCCTTGAAGTCATCCTGAACCCCTTAGGAGACGTCCTGAACCCCTTAGGAGATGTGCTGAACCCCTTGGAGATGTGCTGAACCCCGTTGGAGACAACCTGAACCCCTTAGGAGATGTCCTGAACCCCTTCGAGATGTACCGAACCCCGTTGGAGACAACCTGAACCCCTTGGAGATGTGCTGAACCCCTTGGCGATGTGCTGAACTCCTTGGAGATGTGCTGAACCCCGTTGGAGACAACCTGAACCCCTTGGAGATGTCCTGAACCCCTTAGGAGATGTCCTGAACCCCTTCGAGATGTACTGAACCCCGTTGGAGACAACCTGAACCCCTTGGAGATGTGCTTCAGAGCCACCCCAAAAACCATTTTGGAGGCTGAGGGCACAAATGGTCATTAACAACCGTGCCCGTCACCACTTGGGACCCCCACCAGCCCCTGCCCGCGGTCCAGGGGCTCTATTTAAGCCCAGCCTTGAGGATTTTGGTCCTTCTGCAGGATTTCTTGGAGGAGCATCCATGCGTGGCCATGCTGATCCACCCCATGGGCTGCCATCCTGGCTTGCCCCTCGCTCTGGCACCATGGCTGGTGGTGCCCCTTGGAGTCTCGTGGGGGGGGGTTAATTTAATTTTTTCTCCTTGGGGTTCACCAGCAGATGTTTGGAGCAGCGCTAGGGACCCAACTCTCTCCTGTGGTCCAAGTGGAGTGGCCTTTTGGGGTTAAAAAGGTGGTTTTGGTGCCACCATGCTCTTGGCTGTCCAAGTGACCACGACCAAAGGGTTCAGCTGGTGAAGGCTCAACGCTTCCCTCCATCCTGATACGTTTTTACTGGATTTATGGGAATCTTGCACTGGGAAAAAAAAAAAAAATGCACATTTTTAACTGCAGGATGAGTTGCAACGGAGCTTCAAATTGGAGCGACCCAACTGGAAACTCAACCAAAGGGAAAAGTGGGGGGAAAATCCGTGGAAAATTGGATCTTGACGCGGTTTGAAGCCTTCCAAAGCAAACTGAAGAGGAACGACCACTTTTCAGCCCACCGAGGGAAAGGACCGCGGCACTGCCAGGGTAGCTAGGCTCTAATTTATTACTACTCATGGAAAGAAAGCGACTCCAAAAAAGAAAGGAAAAAAAAAAAGATGAAGACGCGAGCCGCGGTGACGAGGCAGTCCCCGAAAGCGGACACGGAGGGGGACCGTTGACAAGCAGCACAGCGACACGTCCACGCCGGTTTTGGAAGCACGGACAACACCAGAAAATATATAAATTTCACTTAAATCGCAGTTCGGTGTGGGGTTTTTTTCCTCCCCCCCTTCCCAGTGGCTTTTGTCCCTCGTGGCTCCATTTGGGACCCTCCGCCCCATGGCATGGCCACCGTGTCCTCCTACAAAGAATTCAATGATTTGAACCCCGGGGGAGGTTCTTGACTTCATCCCCGTCCCTCCTCTTCCCCGCTTTCCGTATGCAAAGTCCTGGGCTCTGCGGGATGATGGGAAGGGGGTTTCCTCATGTGTCGTCCCCCGCCAATGACCCCATCCACAGAGCCCGGCGTTGTAGAGTTGACCAAGTCACCAAGCCGTATCATCTCACCGTGCCCTCCATTTTGGGTTAATTGGGCCCAAATCGGCCGGCGAGCCCCAAGGCAGGGCGGCGGCTGAGCGCATAATTAGCAGGCTCATTAACGCCCAATTAGCGCAAGGGCGGGGTGAGCACCATCGCCCGCGCTCATGAACGCGTAATTCATGCCTTGCCGAGGTGATTTGGAGGTAGGCTTCAAAAGCCATCCCCCCACAGCGGCTCCCGTTGACCGGCGGCCAAAATTGAGGCAAGAACGGGAGATTTTGGGGCTCCTTCCAAGAAGTTTTGTCCCCCCCCAAAATGGGGCTGGTGCTGCCTGCGCGGCAGCTCCTTGGGGGGGCGTGGGGATCCGAAGGCAGCGGGGGGTGTCCGGAGGGTCCCCAAGGCAGAATGAACATCCTCGGTGTCGTCCTGGTTGCGTCAGCGGTGACAACGTGGTTGCGCCATCCGTGACATCGTGGCCGCGCCATCCGTGACATCGTGGTTGTGCCATCGGTGACGTCCCAGTTGTGCCAGCAGTGACATCCCCATTGTGCCAGCGATGACACCCTGGTTGTGCCATCCTGGTTGTGCCTTCGGCGATATCATGGTTGTGCCAGCGATGACATCATGGGTGTGGCATTGATAACATCCCAGTTCAGCCATCGGTGACATCATGGTTGTGCCATTGATAACATCCCAGTTGAGCCATCAGTGACATCATGGTTATGCCAGCAATGACATCATGGTTGTGCCATTGATAACATCCCAGTTGAGCCATCGGTGACATCATGGTTATGCCAGCAATGACGTCATGGTTGTGCCATTGATAACATCCCAGTTGAGCCATCGGTGACATCATGGTTCTGCCAGCAGTGATGTCCTGGTTCTCCATTGGTGACATCACGGCTGTGGCATCGGTGACATCGCGGTTGCGCCATCGGTGACACCCGGTTGCAGCGGGGTTGGCCGGGGGGGCCAGGCAGGTCCCCAAAACACGTCACAGGGAGCCAGGGACAAGCCTCAGGGGCTGTTGAATCGGGCAAGGGGACGGTGCAGCTCCGCATCCCGCATCCCGCGGCCGCATCCCGCATCCCGCATCCCGCTGCGCCCATCGCGCCTCCAGCAAACGCCCGGAGCCAATTCCAGCCACTCCGGCCATTTTTGTTTGTTTGTTTGTTTGTTTTTTAATTCTTAGTTTTTTCCGTATCCAACGATCCGGCAGCAATTCCCGGCGTTACCGCATCCGATGCCGGCTCGGCTCCCGCTTCCCACGGCGCTGCCTGCGATCGCTGCCTGGCGCAGGCTCCGGTACTTCCTTACGATGGTGGGGTTTATCTTTTTCTCTATTTTTTATCACCGATTTTTTTCTATTCCGTACATCCTTTGCTTTCTTTTCCTCCTTTTTCATTTTCTGTGATTTTTTTTCCCAGATTTTGATATTTTTTCCTCTTTTTTTTCCGCACCTACAGTACTACCGGTTCCTCTTGCCGATATTTTAAACTTATTTTTTTTTAATAAACACGACGAATCCTTCCCATAGCGTCTCCGCACCTCTTGAATGATTTTCTTTTCAGTTAAAACCTTCCCGATTCCAGAGATTTCAGCAATTCCCTACTTTTCCAAGTCTTATTTCAGCTTTTTATCCTCTTTCGGGGAAAAAAAAAAAGTCATTCTCAGCCTTAATTCTTTTTCTTCTGTATTTCTTTCCATGCTTTGATATTTTGCATGTAACCCTTTCTGTTTCTTTTAGTGTTTTTTTAAAATTTTTTAAAAATGTTCTTCGTTTATTTTCCCCCCGAGAAGCGTTCGCTCCCCCGTAACGGGGAGAAATCGGGAAATGGGAGAAATCGGGATTTTAGGCAGCGAAAAAAGCACCGCCACTGCCTTTTCCCGACAGTACCGATCCCGCTCCGAGGGACGGAGCAAAAGCCAACATAAAAATTCAGGAAAATCAGTAATAATAATAAAAAAAAAAACCCACCACCACAAACGCATGAAAGTTTTTGCAAAGTCCGCGTGGAAAAGGAAAAAAAAAAAAACAAAACCAAACCCCAAAAGATTCTGGTAAGTGCCTGAAAAATGACGTCACAAAATCGCGTGGTTTTGCCCCAAAGTCTTTTCTTTCCGAAAGGAAAACAAAATAATAAAAAAATAAAAGAAGAATCCCCCCCCCCCCCCCCACCGGCCCCCCTTAGGCGGGAAGCACGGGGGGAAAAGGAGG